GTATTAACCCACTCAATAAACCAGTGCGTTGACAGCCACCTAGTCTTTCACTTGTCCCTGTGCTCGCATACTTTCCAGAAACCTATGTTTTCATGAATTTAGTATATTAGAAAATATAGTAAAAATGGGTTGCCTAAAAAAATCTTCGACAAACTAATATTTTAAATGAATTCAAAATATAAGTATATACACACATCAAAAGTGTCTAGGGATCAACATATATTTTTGCAATAACTTTTCTCCTGATTGATATTAATTAAAATTTTCTTTAAGGATTCATCAAATAAAGTGTTTTCGTTTGTCACAGTAACGATAAACCAAGTCACCTTTGCATTAATAAAGAAATTTGCCATTTTCCTAATAAAGGGATTTTTGACATTTGAACCACTAACACAAAAGTTAGAAAAAAAGACTGAAATAACAGTTTTCTCTAAAATTTTATTGGGTAACTTAAACAATTAATAATCCGTATTTCTACCGCGAACACTAACAACACAAGAACATCGGTTTGGCATACTCAAAATGAGTTCATCCAAATCACGCTGTGGAATGGCCGCCCATGTTCGTTGCAACAACAAAAAAAGGTCTTCTTGCGACTGGATACCCTCCATATTCGGCAGAGCTCTTCTCTGTAGCATATCCCATGCATACTCAATCGGGTTCAAGTCTGGCGACTGAGCAGGCCAGGGCAGGACATTGATGTTAGCTGCGGCGAGAGTCTGTCTTACAACTCTTGCGGTGTGCGGTCGTGCATTATCATGCATTAACTGAAATAAGGGACCGATTTGCACTTGTAGAGGAACGATGACGTCTGATACAATCGTCTCAGCATAAATTTGAGCGTTGAGGTTGCCTCTGATCCAAATCAACTCAGTTCTTCCGCCGATCCAAATACCCGCCCATACCATGATGGTTCCACCACTATAAGGATGGACTTCCTGGCAGGATTTTAATCGCTGTTGGCGTCCAGGGGTTCTCCAGTGTCGTATACGTCTTGTATCCGGTCTCATACCAAAACGAGACTCATCAGAAAAGCACACGAAACGCCATTGTTCTTCTGCCCAATTTCTGTGTTCAAGAGCCCATTGATATCGAATCCTACGATTGTGCACTGCTATAGGTGGTACCCGTAGCGGTCTTCGGGAATGAAGGTTCACTTCATGCAAGCGGTTTCTGACTGTTTGGTCGCTAATTAAGTTCCCTGAAGAGTGATGAAGCCTCACGGCTAACATCATGGCGGTTATTGTTGGAGCTCTTCGAGTTAAGATTTGAATGTATCGGTCTTGTCTCCGTGTGGTGCAGCGATACCGTCCTCCATGGCGCTCAGCCACGGTACCAGTGCTTCGGTATCGTGTCCAAATTCGACTGATAACACTCTGACTTGTATTCAGAGCTAAAGCCACAGTACGTTGCCGGGAACCAGCTTCTATCATTCCCACGGCTCTGAGCATTTCTTCCCTGCTTAAATGACGTCGCCGCTCCATAATAACGTTGGTTTTAATCAGTAGTAGGGAAACAGTAGCACTAATAATGTCTTCAATGCGTTGTATGTTTTTATAGGGAAAATATTGACAGCTGATTTTCATCTTTTACTCGAATTTGATTCACAGTTCCTGATTCAAATTATGAAATGCACCAAAAAGGATCCATATAAATTTATAAAATCATAAATTTATTACAAAGCCACATCTCAATCTCAAGAAATCCGCATAAAAATGCTTGATCCCTAGACACTTTTGATGTGTGTATATTTTTAATGCAACATTTAGTTGCAACATCAAGATAGTAAGAGCATGTTGTCCTGACTTACGGTATAAAACATATAAAATGTGTAGCCGTTAGGGTTTCTATTATTTACCTACTGGGTTGCCAGGTATAAACAGGTATGTCGATGCTGATTACGTTACCCTATCGGCTGGACATTCTATACGTTTTATACTTTAAAGTCAGGACAACATTTTCTTAGTATGTATCTTGATGATGCAACATTTAATTAAAAACATATTTTTTAAATCAATTAAATAAATACTTTGTCCTGGTTTTTTTAGGCTACCCATTTTTAATATATTTTCTAATATACTAAATCTGCAAACAATACTATTTCGTGGTTATTGTTTACAAAATTGTGCAAGTAATTTATATAAATTAAAAATAAGAAAGGACCAAGGATTGAGCCCTGAGGAACTTCCATCTTAACCGACGAACCAGAAGATATTTCGCCACTGATGTCAACCCTCTAAACCCCATCACTTAAATATGATGCAAAAAGATCCAGAGTGGTATCTCTAAATCCATAGTGGTGAAGTTTCGTGATCAATTTTTCATGAAAAACACAATCAAAAACACCTAGTGCATCTGGTGAGTTAAACCAAACATCAAAAATTTGCTATACAAGCTCAACATCGGCATCAGTTATTGAGCGACCCCTTGTGAAACCAATTTGTTTACTATGAAGAATGTTATTACTATAAAACTATGATTGCATTATGATATTCTTGTATGCAAATTTTCATTAAATGTGCTCTTTGTTGCGCTGATAGGTCATTAATAAAAAATAATCCTAATGGTATTTTCTAGGGATACAAACATAAAGACAAAGACCGAGCTGATATATTGATTTTGAATAATTTTATTTATTGGAGAATAATAAACTTTTCTTTACATTTTAACATCTAGCAGTTACATGCTTAAAAAATACAAATATAATTAAAAACTTTTGTTTAAATATCTTGTTTTATTTTTACTTTGCAATATGATGAGTTTGCTGACCGTATTAACCTGCGTTTTGACATTTATACGCCTATGAAGATTCATAAAAAATTGTTCTAAATTTAAAGGAAATAATTACTGTTCTTCGTTGTTTACTTTAGTGACGAGCACTCATATAATTCATCGAATCGGAAATTTTAGAGCGTAAAATTCAATTTTTCCAAAACTATATTATATTAAGGTGTAACTACATAATATAATTACGGTTACATTTTCACATTAAAAACAATTAATTATAATATCATGTTAAGCTTAAAAAGTTAACATTTGACAGAATTTTTAAAGGATTATTATTATCATCAAGGACTATTATATCACACAAATAATAATATAATTGTAATAACGTAACTCGGAATTTATATTTTCTAAATTCGAAATGTTAAACAACTAAATCAATACGGGATTACTGAGTGTAAGTAAACATTAATATTTTCATTTTATTCAATATTGTTAATCAGCTGCTACTTGCAATATTTGTTAAACTTCCAATAATATAATATCTAGCTTAGATTCACATATGAATACATTTGTATTTTTTTCGATAACAGATTCACATTTCACTTCACTATTGAAATGTGTCAAAACGGCCGTGATTACATAATATGGCCACAGTTTTCGGTGTCAGGGCATATCCAACGATTAAAGTCTTTAATTATTAGTGCTTCCGCTTCCAGCTAAGCGTAATGTTTGTAAAAAAACAGAGGCCTAAGCACGAAATTTGACAGCTTTGTAATCGTATAGCAACGTCAAAGTTTCTATGAAAACTAAGCAGCGCCCCCTACCGGATGTAAACATGTACTGGCTTCTTCCATTTTACGATGACGGTACAATTACGGACTGCCAAAGTTCGTGCTGGGGCCCCTCCACTAGAAAGTTAATGCTGGTTAGGTACCCTAAGGCTGTGAACGCTGCTTCAGTCAAAACTAGTATTGGTTGTAGTCTGTCCACATGAATATTATATATTATAGCTGTTTTCTTCTTCGTGCCAATGTATGTAAATAGATGTATGATGGATGTCATATGATGGTAATCGTAAATAAATAAATTATTTGAGAAATTATAACTTTTATTTTCAAATTTGTTTGTATACATTTTTATTGTAGGTTCATAATCTGTTAATATATAGGTACTGCAGGGACGTAGATAAAAGATAAAAGGAAAACCTCTTTCCTTCTAAAGAAAAATCATTCTTAAACTAAAGAAAAAGATGTACGTACATATATGTCATATACCTATGTACATCTATCATCAATATGATTTAGTCTTTCGATTAGTAGGTACAGTAACATCACAAAATTTATATTTCATAATTAGCGACTTTGGCTCCCGGTTCAAATATGAGGTAATAGTCTTAAGATCCGAACCTACATAGACCTTCACCGATTTGATAATAGAATGAAATATATTTATCATGAATTTAGTATATGTATTAGACAATATTTTAAAAATGGTTTGCCAAAAAATCATGATCAGACTATTTATTTTTAGTTAATTAAAAAAAATGTTGCAACATCAAGATAATAAGAAAATGTGCAGCAGCTGGTTTGTCTAATATTTACCTGGGCGAACCACTAGGTTGCCAGGTATAAACAGGTATGTCAATGCCAATTACGTTACCCAACGGCTGCACATTCTATACGTTTTATACTTTAAGTCACGACAACATTTGTTTTTATTATCTTCATGTTGCGAAATATTTTTTTTAATATTATTAATAATTAAAAAAGTGTCTGTCCAAGATTTTTAATATATTTTCTAATATTAGTATATACATAATAAAATATGTTTCATTCTACTATCAGCTCGGTGAAGGTCGATGTAAGTTCAGATCTTCTACTATAATTTGAAATCCTTTGAATGTAGTTCGTGTTGTTTTTATATGCCAGGTAGCCGGTACAGAGTTTTATGGGCTATTTTCCAATCAGTAGAATCTACCTCAAAAATTTTTTTAGACTACTTACGATCGACTCTGAGAGGCTGCAAGTATGTGTGATGCAGGGTTGTCGTTCATACACGATAAACACCACCTACCTACCTAGGTATGGTGGACCGTAGCATATATAGATATTCGTAGGTCGATCGCGATCGACCGTTTGAGCATCCCTGCAGTAGAGAAACACCCTTAGAAATTAAAATATGTTATATAAAAGCTTTAAATTATTTCTGCCCTATTGGATGATTATATTTCTAGAATGACATACCCTAATGATCCTTAAATTAATCAAAGTCTGCTTTTGCTAAATATTACTTTATTGTGTACAATATATAAATGGATTATAATTTGCTATTTACACAGATTATGTTGTAGAATGAAAAAAATGTACAAATACTCAAACCACTTCAAATATCAATAAGATTTCCTGAACAACAATTGCAAGGATACACATTGCTTAGCTCTAAGTCACTTCTTTTCGGGTCTACTAGAGAGTTAGTTTTAAGATTAAAGAGCAAACTTCGAACTTTATCCATTTCTTTTTTTTTCGATTCTACTTGAAAATATACAGCCAGTTCTTCATCTTCAGCAAATCTTATTAATATTCCGCTCAATTCCTCCAACTGTCTTTTGAGTCGGTCACATTCGATCTGGAAAAGCTTTACTTGTGCACTTCTTTCATCATCGCGTTTCTTTAATAAACTTCTTTGTTGTTGATACAAAGCTACATATTCACATATAGTATCAGTTTCATTTTGTAACTGAAGTATAATGTGTTCTAATCTATGTTTTTCGTCAGATAAATCTGCAACTTCAGACATTATTTTTAGGAATCTCTCCTGAAGTTTTATCATTGCATCTTCTTTAGGGATGCTGGACCTACGGAAGTCACACGACAAGTCATTAGTGTGCTTATGAGGCAAAACTTTGTTTTCATCTTCTGACACCATTGAATTCTCATTGTCTTCTTTTCCATTAATTTCTGTATCTTCTTTGACCAGAGTATCTTGATTATATTCATTATTATCATGCTTTTCAGTGTTCTTCCTGATTGTTTTAGACAGCTCTGAATACTCTTTATCTAAATCACGATAATTATTTTGTAATCTTATCATTTCTTCATCTTTTGCCATTAATTTAATGTGCATATCTTTACATTTATCTTCACATTCAGCTAACTTTATTGTTAATTCTCTGTTTAAGAACTTTTCAGCTGTTATTTTTTCCGTCAATTGCAATTTATCTTGACTCTGAAACAAGATTCCACCCGAACAAAGATAAATATAAAGTTAAATGAAAGCTTTCAAAAAAATCTGATATTCAACATAATCAGGAAGTTTTTTTTGTTAAAATAGATCCTATAAGTAAGTCAGATAACATTGAAGTATTTTTTTATGTAATAAGGGTGACATAGGGTTACCAACTTTTTTTCTATCAAATATAACATTTTCGAAGCTGTAGTCTCTAAAAATATAGTAGATGACAAAAAAATTGAAAAAAAAATAGTATGTGATTAAAATAGTGAGTATATTTTTGCTGCTCTATACCTTAATACTTCAATTTTTTATTTTAAGAAAGTTATTACTGGCAAAAGTCTGCTTTAAGCAAATATAGTAGTTTCGCCTACTATATATATTTCTATATAGTAGTAGTAGTCTATATTGCCCGTTATATGGCCCGTCTTGCTATACCAGAGTATCACTGCGCCATTGCTTACTCTGAACTCGTCCCCTACCCCGTGGAGCTCTGAAACCAAGTGAAACACAACACCACCAAAGGGGTTTTCTGTAAGGTGATAAGACTATGAGGAGCAGCTACTTGTATTGAATTCATTCGACAAAAAAACGAACAGGCCAATGACATAAGTACACAACTCATGCACGAATAAGGCTTCCCCCATTATAATCGGTCGATAATATGGGATGCGTTTTTGAGATATTTGTTTTTAGTACATTATGAAAACGGCTATGAAGTTACACACTGCTGCAAAAATAACGACGCAATAGAAGTGGTTTGTGGATTTCACTTATTACAACCTTGGTTGCAGCGACTGTAATTTAAAGCATACTTTATTTACAAAATTCATGTGGCTATAGCGACTTTGGATGTAACGCCGAGTTCGGGTGTAGCGACTGTTTTTAATGAATCATTTGTATCAAATTCCTAGAAATCCCATGCAGATATTGCGACCGGAGTCCGCCGTCAAAGACAATGATGTCATCCTTTCACAAACATTTCTTATCTTTTGTTTACATCCACACAGATGGCCAGCCAGTGTGGACACTTTTAACTTTTGTTTTTAGATATCAGCTAAGTAGGTAGGGACGCGTGTACGTTTCCCAGTTAAATTTATGGTTCAGTTACAAAGTTATATTCTGAGTAGCAACTGGGTTTAGTAAACTTTTGAATAAGTATGGCTGCTAGACGCACATTCACTGTTAAATAAAAGGCGGAAATCATTTATAGATGAATATAAACTGTGCATGTGTCTGTATCTCTTTACCTTTGCCTGTAACGACTTCCGGATATAACGACGAAAATAGAGCGGTCCCTTCATCGTCGTTATACCCGAAAATACAGTGATTTCAAAATGTCGCAATAACGCATCTGATATTATCGACCGTTAATAACGCACCTATGGGCGGGAGCCTAAATACGGCCATCCATGCACCATGGCCGTCGAATAATGGATTATTCTACACTTTGTGCGACAAACGGCGATCTTATCGCTCCTGGATGTTGCATAATAATAACTGAGGCCGCACACCAGAGATACATTTGTATTACAGTAATTGTGGCGCCACATTTGAAACGCGACACATTTATCGCCCCCTATATTTGTATGTAAACCCGCTCATCAAGGACACATTTGTAGTAGGTGCAGTTTGTGGCGAGACGTTTGCCGCCCCACACCAATTCAAGATCGAACATGTTCGTTTTATGTGGCGCCATTGAATTTTATGTGGAATTCAATTCAATTCAATTCAATTTATTGCAGTCATGTGGTTACATGGATGGTTACAAGTTACAAAATGCATAAAGTACCTAACATGAACCCTGTCAGGGTATCGCAATATAGATAAAAATTACAAAAGAGAATTTAACAAATAAACAATTATCTATATAATGAAGAACCTAATATTTATTAAACAACTTTTTTTTCTCAAAGCATGCATAAATGTCATCTGATTTCATTAATTTTATAACTTACTCAATTGATCTTATTTACAGTACTAGTTTAATTTTGTAATTATTATTATGGAAATTCTTTTATAAAATTAAATTTGTCAATAATTAAAATTAAAAAATATGTCAATAAAAATAAAATAATATGTCAATAAACATGATTATATAATCTAGGTTTGTATTTTAAAGATCGCCTCATTAATATTATTTTGTTGCAAAGTATTCATCTATGGTGTAAAAGCATTTATCTAATAAATATATTTTCAATTTTATCCTAAATTGGTTAAAATGTTTTTCGTTTTTTATGTGAGCGGGTAATTTATTATAAATTTTTATACACATATAATATGGACTGCTACTAAGTTTTCTCAATCGAGATGGTGGTAAATATAATCGATTTTTGTGCCGTGTATTTATATTATGTGTTTCGTCAACTTTTTTAAATACGTCTAAATTTTGATGTACGAATAGTGATACGTCTAGGATATATATGGATGGTAAAGTCAGGACTTTGTATTTTATAAAATATGGTCTGCAGCTTTCCGTATTGTCTATGTGGGCTATGATACGTATACATTTCTTTTGCATTATAAAGAGCTCGTTAGCAGTTGTGCCGTTTCCCCATAGCATTATTCCGTACCTTAGCCATGAAATTATTGAAATTTATTGCATAAGTTGAAAAAAACCCAATCTTTATATACAGGGTGAAATTGAATGTTTCTATGAAACTTCGTGAGATTGTTGGGTTACGTGTATAGAGTATGCATGATTTTTTTCGGATTTTTTAAAATAAATTTTTTCGTTTTTTAATTTTTTATTTGGTTATTTTTTTGTCATTTCTTCCTTATGAGTAATTATTCATTTTAAACACGTCCACATAGAAGTTATAAAGCAACTTAAAATAAGCACTACTAAAAAAACGGAAACTTAATGAATGCCTTCATTATGCCTCCAGTCGAGATCAGCGCCGGTCGGGGCGACGACCGCGGCCCCCTGTGTAGGTACCTACTACACGCACAGATGACTCGGCACTTACCTACTCTCCGCTTTGATCCACACTATTTAAAAACATTACAATAAAATAGTCTTAGATGCTATATTATAATTATTTATTCACTGATACACAATACCTTTGAATATTATTTCATAAAGCACAGGTAATTAATCAATAAAATAAATCTTCTGTTAGAGCAATTAAAAATCCTATAAAGTTAATATGACTGTCACGATTTTAAATCGGTAAAGCCTGTCTGTTAGTGTAAGAACTTCTTTTTTATTGTTAATGTTAGTTGCCTCGTTTAATTAAAACTTAAGCACAAACGGCTTATTAAATTGGGAAAAATCATACAGAGCAAATCGGTATAAATTACGAGCTTAGTGAAGGAAGGAACTCTTCGTGTCTGATTTGTCCACGTCATGAAATTCCTAACACATTTAATCACAGCCACAGTCACACACACACACACGTAATAATATGTTGTTTTGCGGCAAGCACGGGCGGGCGGCGCGCCCCCTCGCTGGCAACTAGCGCCGGTTGCGGCGTCTTTGATGATGTGAATTCCGCCCACCTCCCCTCTACCCCGCACGCGGTGGTTTGCTTTGATTGCATGCAAAACGCAGTCGCAAGTATATCAATCGCGCGTGGGCGTGCGCATTTTTTGACTTAGTGACATACACTGTGATAATTTCATTATGCCTCGGTATACGAACCAAGAATACCTAGAGATGGTGTACTGCTATCGCGAGTGTGACGAAGTAGGTTTGGTTTACGAATGAGTCCCCAAACCATAGAAGTTGCATTTTGTGCAGTGAGTAGTGATAGGGACACTTTAAAAAAGGTGAAAAGACACGTCCGCAAACATGCCTACCTTTGTTTGCAGCAAAATGGTGGTTTAGAGCAACAATTTTGCAGATAATAATTTAAGTCTCTTTTTATTGCTAGTGTAAATACTTTTTATAATCAATCAAAATCATTTATTCAGTTTAGGCTGTTACAAGCACATATATGTTTGAGTGTAAGATTTTTGATTAGAAACAACTAATTGTGTACTACCAGTGTGATTGATTTGATAAAAAGTTCTAGTGAAAAAAATGAATATGTTCCTCGTTCCTCGTTGTACCTACCTACATCGCCGGTCTCGTAAGAACTTTTGAATACCGGGTTATAAATTTCATTCTGACCCAAGTATTGAACTGCAATAAGTATTTCTTTTTGTTTAACATTTGCCTATTTCCAATCGTGACAAAATTATTATTAACTTTTAAAGTTTTTCTCTGCTTAAGAGAAGATGACATTTGTGCTTAATATTTCAATTTCAATAAAGGCATCTAAGACGATTTTATTGTATTGTGTGGAATCAAACGAGTCAGCTGAGCTCTGTGTAGAGGTACCTACTCACTCAACGGCTGGCGGGCGCGGTCGGTCGTTGACCCGCGGTGGAATTTAATGTTTTCCCGTTTTTTAGAAGTGCTTATTTATTAGTTGTTTTTCACTGGATATGTAAGTTTGTTTGTTTTAAACGAATAACTACTCAAAAGGAGGGAAGGACATAAAAATACACAAATTATAAATAAATACATGAAAAAAATATACTTCAAAAAAATCCGAAAAAAAACAGGCATACTCTATACACATAACCCAACAATCTCACGAAGTTTCATAGAAACATTCAATTTCACCCTATATATAATTCTTCTGTGAGTGTGTATGTCACTGAAATTCTCTTAAACGACTGGACCGAATTTGATGAAATTTTTTGTGTGTGTTCAAGGGGATCTGAGAATGGTTTAGATTCACAATTTTGTCCGCTGGACAATGTTGTTTTAATTTATTAGTAGTTGTTGATTTTGGAATGTTTTACATTGGATCCGACAGACGGCGCTACCATCGCAGTGTCAAATATTAAATAATATTCAATTTTAAAAGGTTTTAAAAAATAAAAAAACCGATTTTACGCCCCTAGCTCCATCTAGCGGCAAAGTGCTATTGGAACGCGCACCGTTATGTTGCGTGTTCCAGAGTTGGAAAACCATCGAATTTATTTATTTATACACCTCAGGGTTTAACCAAAAATATTGTACATCCAATGGCATTACGATAAATTAAGTTTTTGTAAATAAAAAATATATTTGTTAAATAAAATAGTTTGAGTGTAAGCTTTTTTACCTTTAATAAAAACAAGTTGAAGATTTCATTACACATACTCACACGCTATCGATTAGTCTAATTGTAATAAATTTACATGTAATGACGTTAGATATTGTCATAACATTTGAATAATAACTTTCATCAAAATGGTCCAGAATGTTTTAGCTTATTAAAAAAAGTTTGAAATTTTCAAATTAAAGACTGTCTACACGTCTTTAATTTGAAACCGACGTCTGTCGGGTCCGCTAGTTTTATATAATCACGCACTCAATGACTATAGTAACAGACGAATGACAGAAATTATTTCGACTAAGATCGGCGAATTATTAATTGTAATTAAAAATAATAAACGGAACTTTTCTTCGTGGGATCGTAATTCTTGCGCAATTTTGAAATTTCCGGAAACAGTACAATTTTTACTAAACGAGAACCGAATAAGGTCTTTTTTTCTCATTAATCGCCACATCAAAAAATCGTCGTCGTTAGACGATGATGTCGACATTCTGTTGCTAGTGCTACGCTACAACTACGCTTCCGATGTGCGCATACACGATACTTTTGTCGCCGCGTAAATTGTGGCGCAATAATTGTGGTGCCGTAAGGCGCTAAGCAGACGACGGGGCGGGGTGGGCTTTTTGTCCGGGAAGCAATAAAGACCGCGTCTGCCCATCGATGTCTGCGGCTGCCCGCGCCGCGTACACAAAGCACACCACGGGCAGAGGCGGTCAGTTCAGGACGTTCGTTCTAGTGAATAGTCCATCACTAAAAAGCGCGTGGCGCGGACTGAGATGACCGCCTCGCGCCGCCGTCTACGTTACTGCATATAAACTGGTTTGTATGATCCACGGCGGGCAGCCGCGGACATGCCGCGCCGCCACTGCCCGCCGAGCACCCAAGGCGTTTGAAGTATAGGATTCACTTTCTGCTATTATTCGCGGCGAAAGTGACCGGCCCGCCCCGCCCCGTCGTCTGCAAATCGCCTATGTATGTTGCGTGTAGCGTGTGGCACCGGTGTAGTGTTGCCAGGGTCAATTTGTTTTAAATCGGTACATGAGGTCAAAAATCGGGATTTAGGGTTGCTGATCGGGACCGTAAACAAAAAACAAGGTTTTTTTAAGTCTAGGTTTAATTTATTGCATTTTAACCTACTAGTGCAAGTATTTATATCAATTACCTAAATTTAATTTTTTGATTAATCGGGACATTTAACGTCCCGATCAGGTACAAATCGGGGTGCGTCTCCAGACCCCTGAAAATCGGGACGTCCCGCGCAAATCGGGACACCTGGCAACACTATACCGGTGTGCGGCCGCCTCACTAAGGCGGCCTCACTAAGGTTGCCTGCTGCCACTATGGCCACCCTGCTTAAACTACACTGTTTATTTCTCGCGCTTCTTTTCTGAATCTGAGTGCACTGTGGCCGTACCCTTACGTAAAACAACAACTAAATAAGTGTAATAGAGCTCAGTAACAACGATTTCATTAACCTGATTCTTAAACATGTGCTCATCAGTTAAGAGTTCCAAAGTCACACAGCACAGCTTTAACTGCTATGTGAAGGGGTTAAGGCTCAGGTTCTTAAAAGAAGGTTGAATGAGTGTCATGGTGAACAAAAGATTTTTGTGGTACTAATTGGGATTAAAACAAATGTTGCAAAGAATTGAAAATGTATGAGTATCACGGCGTCGATGAATAGTTGAGTTCACAATGAAACTAGGCAACGCGATCATAAGAAACATTCATACTACTTCTAGTAGTAGAAGCCATTATAATAAGCTTCGCGCGGTGAATTCTCGAGATTATTAGTTATGCACGGATTCCGCCATGTCTGAACTAGAGCTAAGTTTCAGAGAAACGGGCGGACGGACCTTGTTGACTTCTGAACCCTTGAAACCTGTCAAGTGGGAGTCGGACTCGCATGTGTAACGTCAACACTATTAAACAAGTATTGGTAAACATTACTTTAAAAAGTAATCTCAATCAGCGGAAAAGGTGAAGATTTTTAAAAGCATGCACAAGACAAGAATGCTTTAGTAGGGTTTAAATTGATTTATGTAACAGTTTCTTCTAGTTCCATCTTGGTTATCTAAAGATTGAATTAATATTCAATCTAGTCTTGATGCACATCGTCACTGTGACAGCTCATCCGCAACAGAGGGGCAGTTTAATAGGTAAAGTCACTTACCATTTTCACAAAGTCTTCTTCCAACTCTTGCATGCTCGTTTTCAATTTTTTGTTTTGCTCAGTAGCCTTTTGTGCAGCTATTTTATCACTAGCAATATCAGCAGTTAATTTCGTAATACTAATATTCTCGTGACTGCAGCTAACTTTATTTGCTTCTTGCAATTCTATTATTTTACGTTCATTTTCTGCATATGCCTTTTGCAACTGCTCATATTTCGTTGTCATTGCTTCTAATTGTTTCTTAAAAAAATAATATTAGATAACAATCGCTGAGTGATAAGAGGCTTATATTAGAAATTATAAAAAATAAGAAAAAGCTGTGTGTTAATTGAAGAATAAATAATAGATCTATGTACATATTGAGTCCGACACCCTGAGTAAATAAGCCCCGGAACAAAAACTATTTTATTAGGGTTTCAAACCCAAAAGGTAAAACGGGACTCTATTACTTAGATTCCTTTGTCTGTCTTTATGTCACAGGGTGTATCTCATAAACCGTGATAGCTAGACATTTGAAAGTTTCACATTTTCAGATGACTGCCACTATAACAACTAAAATACTATACTATAAATATAATAAAATAAATATTTATTGCATATATATTTATTTTATTATACATTACTTGTATAATGTGATTTATTGTGGATTTTTAATCTATATTGAAAACGACGACGTCATTTTTACTTTAAAAATAAATATTTAAGGCCCCCCTTAACCCATACAACAGACGTGATATTTTGTCTTTATTGCTTGATATTACGAATAGTGTCTCTTGTTGTATAGATAATGGTATGGTAAGGAACCCTTTGAGCACCAGTTCGAATCCACTTGGCTGACATTAACAGAATTCATACCTGAACAACATTGTATTCATTTTGTACAGCATTGAAATCAATATTTTTCTCAACATTTTCATTTTTTTCTAATATTTGTGGTTGTTCCTTATATTCTAAACTTTTTATTTGAAGATTTTGTATCCGTATCTCCATTTCACTTATCTGATCAACTAAACTATTTTCTCTATTTGACAAGTGATAGACTTGATTTGAAAGATCTTCATTCTTTGATGTTACCAATTTAAGTTGTTCATTAAGTTCTGTGGCATATTGTTCATAGTGTACATTAATTTGATCTCTTTCCTTTTGGACTACCTTCAACTGCTGTTCAAGATACTCTACTTTCTGTAACAGTTCATCATTTCGTTTAGATTCGGGGTCATTACTAACAGGAATGTATAAATTGGATCCATTGAGTAATTGTTGCAGTTGTAATTTTGTTACATCCAGTTCTCTATGCAGCTGATCCAGCTGACTATGTAAAGAAGCGTTTTCAGTTTCCTTCGCAGTTAAAATAGTTTTTGTAAATTCCAACTTTTCTAACAAATTGTTATTTTCATCTAGTAATGAAGATTTTTTATCATTTAACTCCTTGATATTACTGGCCTGTAATTGCAGCTGATCCATTGTATATAAATACTTATTATTCAGATTTTGTAGTTCAGTTTCTAAATAACATATTTTCTGTTTGGAATCATTATGATAGTTTATTTCTTGTCTTAGATTTGACTCTAAACTAGCTAACTTTAATTGTAATTCGGCTATTTGCACTTCCAGATTTCTTTTGTTAGAAATAAGTAACTCTGTTACATTTAGATCGATGGAATCTGTTTCACTTGTGCTTATTTCTATATTTTCATGTTTAATATGATTATCTTTACTTTTTTTTTCATTTTCAATTGGTGTACTCTCACAGTATTTATAAATTTTTTCTTCACTTTTCTCAGAAAGTTCTTCTTTTGGAACTGTCACTTGCTTTTTCTCTTGATGGTCTTTAAGCTGAAAAATAAACATTTAATAATTTACATTTCTATGAAACAATAGAACAGCTACCATTAGTCTTTATCATTTAGGTATATCCAACCATAGGATAACAAGTATCTATATGATATGATAACACTAGAAATCAATATTCGCAAAAAACAATTGATTGAATGTTTAATGTGGATTATGGATCACTTTGAGAGATTCGATGGAAATGAATTTTTTTTTCTTATATATCTTTCTAATCTTGGTTTTTTGAGCCTTGGTAAAATTGTAAGGAGCCATCACAAAAACAAATAATTTTGTATGTCGGTTATTTTGCTCATGTTTATTTGTAAAGAAAGTGCAACAATGATAAGGTCGTCTCATTCTTATAGTAGAGGAGCCCAAACAGGGATTTGGGGATTTACTCAAGAATAATATAATGGGAGGCAACCTTGCACCTTGTGAAGTACTCCCACTGTACCCGAGCCCTTTATGTAGGTCGAACAACGCACACAAAGACAAGACACCGCTCATGGACACAATATGCGACTGTTACGAGCGCGAGAGTTCCAAATCTGACATCCAGATTCTCTATACAAGATTTCAAAAGAGAGTGAGCGGTCCTTTCCAACAGCAAGGATCTGCCTATGACATGAAGTTCTACAACACACTCGCTTGAAGTTGCCGATTACAGATTGCAAATAAAAAAAAAAACAGTTCCTAGCTTCGCACTCAAAATATATTGTCATCATCAAGTAAGTTCTTCCCAAAGGCAAGGCAACAAAAGTTGATTTAACTAAATTTTAAGTGGTAAAAATAGGTTTTAGATACCTAAATAACTTATTAGAATATTCTGCAAATATTGTGGAAGTAGCAGAACTTCATGCTCATTCTGATCTGTGTTGATTGATAGAATACTTAGATTGTTATATCTAATAACTTTTATGCTACAGACAAGAACAAGGTATTAATTCTCAAAAGGGAGGCGCCTTTAAGATTAATTTAAATGAATTTCTACATGGGTATTTCTACAATACTCAACCAGCTTGGAGAGGCTACTACACTTCAGCGCCGGAACTAAGTTCCTTGTTTAGTGTTGCCGACTTATAGTTACTGACGAAACTTATTTATAAGTCTAGGCCCTCAGAAAATCATTTCATAAAGTTACCACGGTAGAAAAGGGTTAAACTATTCCATGCAGCAATGATAACTTTAATAATTAAACAAACACTTCACCTTTTTTCGAGCTAGTGCTAGTTTTGCAGCTCGGGTGTCCATTTTAATAGCGTCGCCTCGTTTCTATACGCCCAGGTCTTAGTTTAATTTTTGTAATCCCTAGTTTTATACGTGTCTAAGATCAATTAATCGAAAGAAACACAAGAAACTTATAATCAACTGAAAATTCAACACATCACACAAATCAAATGTTTTGACACTTGCTCAGCCCGTGGCAGGGCTGCCAGAAGAGTTTTTCTAATTTACGCGAGATTGAAATTATTATCCGCTAAAATTAAAAAAAAAATAACTATAATAAATAATATCTGGTTCATGATTTGCAAGTCGGGCGGGGTCAAGATTGAAACATTAAATAGATTTTCGATTCTGATCGGTAATAATACATCTTTCAATCTTGACCCGCCCGACTTCCAAATCATGAACCAGGTATTACTTTTTAGGTCCATTTTCGATTTTGATGTCAGATATATTTAAAAAAAATCATCCATTTTAGTGAAAATTACATCGTCCAAGTACAATTGACAACAATAACACAATTGACGGAGAAATCTGTGAACATGCATAAAAAACATCGTGCGTGCCTTTGAAATTTGAAGGTTTCCCTCGATTTCTCCGGATTCCACCTTCAGCTCCTGACTTGGTTTCAATGGAACCACCTCAGAAGTGCACTCTTTCGAATAAAAAAAGAATTTTGGAAATCGGTCCACAATTGACGGAGAAATCGGCGAACATACATTAAAAAAAAACAAAAAATATACAGTCGAACATATAATCTCCTCCTTTTTTGAAGTCGGTTAAAAATGATACCTTTCTCGAAGAAAACCGCCAAATCTTGATTAGACAAATAAATAGAATTTTTTTAATAATTTGTATTTATTCATAAATACTGTTAAAAAAACTTAATGGTTTATGTAACCACGATGCGTTGCTAGGGAAACTGTTAGTGTTTCTTTTGGGTTCGTTATGTAGATTCTTGAATGAAAGATTATTGGGGCGTTGTTAATATTTTTATTGCACACTCACATGTTAACAGCTTACAGCCATGGTGGATACCAGGGAAGAGAGCCAGCGGCCCTCGACATAGACAAATCTATTTTTATTTTAACCATAGACTACAACATGCCCTTTTTTCTTATAAGACAAATGACAGTGACAGATGACACTGACATTTATATGTTGACGGATGACATTACAAACATAACCCTACTTTGCTTAACAAAGTTACGTTACAAACAATATAACAATTTTGGAATACATTGAAAACATTATTTACTTCTTAATTTATTATAATTTATGGGCATGAAACTTTACATAAAATACTTAATTATTGTGGTGTATGTCAACAATACAAATTTAAAATTTACTTAGTCAATACTTAAATGAATTACATGTCAATATTATATTATCAATTATACATATTTTATTATAGATTTAATCTCTGTTTTTTCTTTAATTATCTTCCCTTTGAACTATATTTTCTTTCAGCATTTATAGCGTCGTTATTGTCATTAACAGGTAAGGGTGATATTTCATTACTACTACAACTTGGACTAGATAAATCGCTTGGACTTTCAAGTAATTTTTCTATATTTTTACATTGAGAAGACATAGGAGTTTCATTTTGATATTCGTTATAGTCATGTAGTCTCTCCGGTGACACTATAGGTTCATTGACATTTACAAATATTGGAGATTTTACTATATTTTCTGACTGTCTTTCTGACATGATTTCCGACTGACATTCAGATTGGTTCAAATGACTTGACTCTACTGATAAGAAAGAATCTGAGGTGTTGCTCAGTATTGGACTTTGTGATCTTGACTTAGGACTTGACTCATGAGTGAAGATGAAAGTGCAACTATCATCCTCCTCTTCAATAATTTTTGACTTTTGACTGATTTTTGACTTGTTAATTTCTTGATTTATTAGACTTGGACATTTTACTTCTTCAAATTTTACTTTTTTGCTGTTATATTCTGAGACATTATTATGACTAGACTTTAGACAATTTGACTTGTAATCAAAGCGAATATGCTGACTATTCCTACGATAAGTTACATTGTTACCATCTTTGATTGAAAGATCTCGGGTATTTTGTTTTAGAAACGATTTTACCTTTTGTCCATATAATGATGTCGATTCTGGCATGATTCTCTAAAGCTAAACTTAAATTTGACAACAGTGCATCCTTGTCATTCTCTATACATAATGAAAAGAAGAGACTGATGTTAAATTTAGTTTTAAGTTTGGAGAATCACGCTAGAATCGACACCATTATCTTTCGGATTTTCTTAAAAAATATCTGATCATATATGCGAAATTCAGGATAATTTTTACAGTTTTTGTTGTAATAAGATTTTGTTCTTTGAATGTTGAATCTTGACCTTGACCTGTATCTCTGTGGTTGCTCTTTAACTCCCTGCACCATTTCGTTTTTTGTATCCTGTCTCATCAATTTGCTAGAACGTTCCTGAGATAGCTCGAGGTTTTTTGCAATCTTCATAGTGGATTCAACGGTCAGGCCTTCCTCTTGTAGTAATCTTTCTTTAATATATGTATTTTTCATACCTATGATGAGCATGTCCTTTATCAACGATTGTTTTAAATTTCCAAAGTCACATGTGGTTGCTAAATTATTAATAATTGTTAAATATTCATCCAGAGATTCGTCAGGTTTTTGCATTCTAGTAAAAAAAATATATCTTTCCACAGTAATATCACGTAACACGTCTTCTAATTTGATTTGCGTTCTGTCAAGATTAAAACTGTTGAAAATTTCGATTCCGTCGTCTCCTATGGCATTAAGAAATATTGCTACCTGTTTGGATTCGGGAAATTTTGCAATTTCATTAGCATCCTTAAATATTTCAAAACGAAGTTTCCATTTTTTCCATATCTCGGCTGCGTTTTCGCCATTTTGTACGCTTAGAGGTTTCAAGGAGACAATGAACGCTTTGTCCGCCATGACAGAGTTGACTTTGATAGCAGAGATTCGACTTACTTGGGACTTTTTCACACCTATTTTATTTGAAAATTTTCTGCACTTATGACACCATCTTTTGGGTTCGTTATGTAGATTCTTGAATGAAAGATTATTGGGGCGTTGTTAATATTTTTATTGCACACTCACATGTTAACAGCTTACAGCCATGGTGGATACCAGGGAAGAGAGCCAGCGGCCCTCGAAATAGACAAATCTATTTTTATTTTAACCTTAGACTACAACAGTGTTAAACATCGCATTATTTTTTTTCGGGTTTATAGTAAAAAAAAACTTCCTCGGCTAGGAATCGAACACGGGCTGCCCGCGTAGCAACCGAGTTTTCTACCACTGAACCACTGCTTGTAGATGAGGTCTGATTTTTTATAACAAGAAAAAACGTAATGCGACATGCTAAAGATTTACTATAAATTTAGATTAGATTTATGGCGATGTAATAAGTGTCGCTTTAAACTAATTGGATGATTAAAAAGAATTTTCTTTTAAGTCAATTAAAATAATCATCATCATCATCAACAGTCTACCCTAGTCCACTGCTGGACATAAAGTATTCATTGCCCAAAAGAAATGTATTCGAGCCATTTGTAATATTGCACCAGATGTTTCTTGCAGACCGTTTTTCAAAGCATTAAACATATTAACACTGCCTTGCTTATATGTCATAAGAAATGGGATTTGTTAAATAAAACAGCCACCTATACCAGCAACTTAAACTTAATACAAGCAGAAGTTTTAGAAATTAGAACAAACTTGTATTGAGTCGCAATCCCAAAACTTCTCGTTTCAATAAAAATGGTTATGCAATGGCTATGAAAAATATAATCAAGTACCTGACAATATTAAGCAACTACCCTACAACAGGTTCAGAATGGTATTGAAAAATTGGTTATTGGATAATTTATTCTGTAGAGGAATTTTTAAAAAATAAGTCCTGAATATTAAAATGAATGTCGATTTTGGATTAATTTTTTTTTTTTATGCTAAATAGGCAATGCGTTTGACCACAATCTCACCTGATGGAAAGCGATGATGAGGCCTAGGATGGTACACGCCTGCCTAGAAGATGCCTGTTCACTCTGGCCTTGAAGATGTCCAGGTTATATTGGTCCGGGAAAACAGACCTCGGCAAGGAGTTCCACTCCCTAGCCGTTCGTATAATGAAGGCCGAAGCAAATCGCTTCGTGCGAATATATATAATATATTGGACATCAATATTACTTTTAAATTGAAATGAGGAATCCTAATTAATATTGACTTTAAATGGAATAATACTTACTCTTAAATTATCATACTAAAAAAATTGTAATTATAGGCACGGACCTGAGAAAAAGACGGACGTAACATCAAACCAAAACGATAAGAAGCATGCAAGGTCCTACAATTTCGTTTGTTGTACACTATTTACAATCACACAAATGCACCAGTACCCCTAGCACGAACCATTATCGAATTCGAATAGTTTGCAAACCGAAATGTCAATGTCAAATTTTGTATGGAAACTTGAACAGCAGCGGCACAAAGTACGTAAGGAGAACTAAAAATCAGTACACATTTGACAATGTCATTTCGGACCCGCAAACGATACGAATTCGATATTGGTTCGTGCTAAGGGTACAGGTCGGACAAACTGATGCCATTTGACTTCACGTGACAGCGGCAGTTAAACGTTCAATTGCTCCTACAAAATTTTTAAAATATGCCGTCTTGTGTGATGATATCATGTAAAATCTGCAAGGGTAAACATAATATATATGCCACAAGGAATCACCTACCATGCCTAAGTAATGACAAATCGTGATAATTTTTCAAAAATATATTTTATTTAATGTGATGAAAATTCTAAGCAAAAAATACACTGTGTGGCTACTTTTTCTTCGGTTTTTTTTCCTAAAAGTGGGGAAATTTGTATTTCATGCATTTGTGACTCGATAAGATTTCGAAACTTTTTAAGGCTCCGAATTCCAAACGGAAAACAAACAGAACACATATTATTCATATAATATTACTCTTTTGTCTCGAAAACAAACCAAATCTGTCAAGGTTTTAGGCAGGACTCAAATCTGCGTGTTCCGCTGACCAGGCTAACAGCACTAACCCCTAGCATTTGTGGTAGTTCCTACAATAAAAATTATGTTATTATCAAGTTCCCAATTAGCCCTGATTGCACTGATTATTATTTATTTATTATAAAT